CTGCCCCACGACAGCTTTCATCTTCTGAGCTCATGCTGAATTTGGGAGGCCCCCAGGAGGTGAAGGACAAAATTGATATTTATAAAGCCTCGAGAATTACCACTTTAAGGGATGGGCTGCTTTAAAGGCAGAATGTATAGGCATACCTGCACGTGGAATTTTGTTCCAGTTAGCCTGGACGCCTGAAGTTGCCTTTTTTTGAGCTTTGCGCCCTTAGATCGCCAGATAAATGTCATTTTTCTTCCCTATCATGCCACACACAAACCAGCCTTCCCCTCTTCTCCGGTGCACTTCGGATTTTGCCCTTATCGGCACCTTCTACTCTTGCCCCCGCGTCGTGATTGTCGCCATCCTTTGTCACCACCCCTTCAGGACACGAAGACAAGCCACACGTAACCGACAATGGGCCTTCTCTTCCATAACCTGTGGACTGAAGAGAGATGCTGCACCTCCTGGAAATGACATGCTTGTAGCTTGCTATTCAGATACAAGATCAGCGAAGTTAAACACATAGAAGGGAGAGCGCCCGAGTATCACGAATTAAACTGGATTAAAAGGAGAAGATAACTAGTGAGTATCCTAAAGTCAAGTTACGAGTAACAAGGTTGTGCGTGCAGGATTATTAGAAGAAAAGGAGAAGAAGGTGTGAAGGTGTGAAGGTGTGGAAGCCACAGAAGCCACTGCAGTGAAACAACTATCCTAAAAAAGGGGTATATGGTGAAAGTGCGAAAGCTGGGGCGCAGAAGCAAGAGAGGCCAGCCTCCCCGCAAATCCTGACAGAGCCTTGACATTAATAGCTTCGTTTCGCAATCCCGATCGGTGAGTGCCGAAGGATGCATACATGCAGAACGCCACAGAGCCGCCCCCAGGTTTTCGATATCTTCGAACACATCATTGAAAACTACCATTTCCTTAACAAATGAGATATTTCTCCTGTAAAGAAGGAGTTCACAGAGGTAAAGAACGACCCTTCAAGGTTTGTCAGAGCAAAGGAGAAGCCAGAAATATCAGGCTGTCGATTGCTCCTTTCCTACGTACGCGCCACTGTTCGCCGAGTCGATTGATGGGATCAAAGCCTATCTCGAGAGGGAAAAGTGTGATGTCTGAAGACTAAAGATTCATGTTAGCAGGTCCAGGTCTTCGGGGAGAGTACAGAGTGGTCTGGTCGAGACTTACCTGCAATTAAGAATGCGGGTATCCTTCCTCATATACGGCCTCTAATCGACTGTTGGCGTCCTTCGGTCTCCTGCAGTTAGAATTTAAGCAATGACTGTCGAAGGTCGTGTTATGAGGCCCGTGATAGCAGTACCCCTGAGATCTGTTACTTGCTAGCTCCAACGATATGAAGAATGGCCTCTACTTACGCAGTACCAGCTCCATCCGATGATTGCCGGCATTTTGACCCCCTTCTTGCTGCTCTTTTTCTTCTTGTCTGAATCGGAATTTCTGCCGTGAGCCATTCGAGAACAAATTGTTTGCAAAGCTTTCAGTTCAAAATTTGTCAAGAGAGGAGTAAGTCTGGACGCATTTGATGAATCTGAAATGGAGTCGATCCTGCTGGTCGCATTTAAATATTCGCAACACCCTGAATACTTACACAGCACGTAAATGACAAGGCGGAAAGGGGCCAATGAGCCACTCTGTCGGGGATTTGAGCTCATCCTGTTCTGCAACACTAGATACCCCTTTATTCGGTGTACGTGCAAATATTCGCAGTCTGCCAAATGAAAAGCCCCTTATTCAACCCGGCATGGCTGGTTTATCATGTGCTTTCCTCAAGAACCAGTGGAAGGCCCTGAAAGATGAAATTGCAGTCCAATCGCTGGTGCGGATACGGAATTTGCTGAGGAGATTTCGATTCGGTGAGCTTGTAGCCAGTAGGCAGAACGGAATGGTGGAAGTGTCAATAGAGCCCAGGGGGGCTGAAATCAGACGCAGCTTTGGAGGGCTGAAGAGTACCTGCCATTTTGAAATGCCGCCTGCGAGAAACATGTCCCGGCGGGACATGGCACCCCTCGGCTGTCTACTCCAGCGATTGGACTTCGTACGGCAACCTAGGGTAGGCATTTGCCAAAGGTTGATTGTGACGAGGACCTATGAGAAAGCCGAATAACCCTCCCGAACGAGAACAGTGGCTCATCACCTGAATCGGAACGAAGCCATCGGCGGTGAGGTAGGTGTAAGGTAGACTGGTGAACATGCCGAACGTAGTTCTCAGCAAATGGTCAGAGGCGAGTCTGCCGATAATCGGAATGAGAGTTCCAGCGCCAGCCTCAACTGGCTTGCAGCGTATCAGATCATCGGTTTTGAGCCTCCGCAGCATTGGATTGCAGGCTAGAGCCTCAAGTGTCAGCAGTTCCTTCCATCACAGCCCTCGAAGCGGACTTAGCCTCAAGGAATGACCTGTGTATCCTGCCTGACACACGATCACCAGATGATACCGAGTCAGACTTGCCCGCGTGCTCGAACGGTGAAATGCTAAAAAGGGACAAGCGATGTATTTCTTGAAGTATGAACCCGATATGGATCCTGACTAAGCCTCGGAGCCTTGCGTGGTAAAGAAGGGTTGTGAGAGGTCGGATACACCGACCTATAGTTTCCGAAGACAATCATCGTACTCCTTAGATCCTAAATCATCCTCATGAAGATGTTATGAAGCGCCCCGTCATGAGAACACTGAATACTCAGGGAAGAAGACGAACTTCCTTGGAAGCGGAGATCCGAGAGCGGTGAGTCTCCCTAAAGCATTGATGATAGATAGATTGTGACCTGTGGCAGCATAGACATTCGCAAGTGCCAACGCGACAACATTCGAACTGCTTGTATCCCATAAGTCGTCCATAGAATTAATTGATTGCTATATGGAATGATGCCCTCGGTCTGTCCTTGATCCTTCGATATGCAACTTGACGAGATGGCTTTTTGGACTCCAACGGAAAAATGGATACTGTGTGTCCGCATCGTGATTAGAACTAAATTGAACCAGGATCACGGTCTCTGCGCATTGCTAGATGAAGTTGCTTTACTAGCATTTATCGTTATAATTGCCAAAAATTTCATAGCAAGGTTAGTTCAGATCCCCGGCAAAGCCAAGGGCACGCGAGATGGGTTCCTGTCTTATATATCATAGCAACGATGTCAAAGGAGACTGGGCAGCCCTCCTTGAGCCTCATTCCAACCGACCGGTTCTGCATTAGTCTTAGCAAAATCTTCTTCGGGCAGATTTCGAGTTGAACAAGATCACCAGCTAAGTGGTCAACGTGTCTATCTCTCCAGGCTCATGGTATGGCCTGTCAAGAAAACCATTTGTCCTGGGTTGCCTAGCCATTGAGGCTTTGTAAGACATCGTGACCGATTGTTATTTAAGGAAGCATGAACTTATGGACAGCTTTTTTTGGCTAGGGGGAATAGCAACAGTGTCGTTGGTGGTGTAGGCAAGCTGGTTGATCCAATAGATTGGCCTCCGTTTTCAGCTGGGCTCTTGAGAGAACTCAGCCACACGATAAGAGGAAATTGGCGAACATTTCATAGCACCTGAACGGATCTTGAATGGTAAGCTCTCTTCCTTGCAGTCAACGGGACGACTAGATGGTCAATGAACAACCATGCTGATTTGGTACACGGACGACCGCCAACATTATTGTATTAATCAACCGCACCGGGCGACCATCTTCTGCAACTCTCTCAGGCTCAATTCGATGGAATGCCTGCTCGGTGTACAAGCATTCAGAGTTCTTGCCCTCATTGTGCCGAACAGCCCAACCAGCATGCTAGGCAAAAGTCGTGGCGTTTCAAGGGGAAGTTGGTCACATAGTATCCAATTGTTGCACAGTCAACGTCAAGAGAGGCTGGGAAGATATGATCTTCGAAAGGTAATTTCGCCCGTCTTGTATTGATGGCTTTCGGCGAAGATGCACTCGTAGAAATGAAATTAGCAGAGTAGGACAGACTTGAGGCGCTCAGCATACTCATTCTTGATGTCCGTTTCTGGTATTTTGAATTATCTAATTGAGTTCTCACTTCACCTTAGGGGCCTCCACCGGTTTGGAAGAATGAGGCTCAACGAGGCGGTATCAAAAACACAGTACATTGATTTTTTCTCTCTCGGTGATTTAGTCGAGGGAGGCTGGGTTCGAGGTGTATACTTATGGGGAAAAGCCCAGACCGGTTTGGGTCCTTACACATCTAGCAATCCACTGCGGGTTTGGAAAAGGTGCATTTTCTTGCTACACACTGCTTGACAGACGAACAAATAGGATGCATTGCCTTTAGATGTTATGTTTCATTGCATCCAGCAATGCAGCAGCAACGCGCTTCGCCAGAAGTGCATTTCCTGATGACTCTGTCCTAGAGGTGCCAGCGCATCATCCCATAAGTGCCTTGGAGGGTCTCGAGAGGCCTTACCAGAAGGCAAGTCAGGTAAGGCATTGCAGAGCACCTTACCTTAGGTAATCTCTGACTGCCCTCGGGTATACCTTGCCCAGCTTTGAACTGTAGAGGTCAGGCGCTGGCCATTCATCTTATCTGATGCTCAGTCTCCTGATCGGGTAGGGACGATGCAGAAAGGACTGGGAAGGAGCCAATTGACCAATTAATACCTAGTGACTGGGTGCTTGAAATCGACTGCTTCCGGCCAATCGACAATGAGCGCTGAAGTTGCGATGCAACAGTGTTTTGGGGGCCCACCCCTGTCGCTAAGATTCATTGCACCAAGTGCGTCATCATTTTGAGTTCAGCACCCCGGTAGTTGCCCATTCCATGTTTTACTTGGATGTGATCAGGCGCGTCATTAAAGTTTCCAACATCCCCCCTCCTCCAAGCAGATTCTGTATAAAGCTTCATTTCTGCCCAATCTTCTCTTCACCTGCTGATTCTTGGCAATCCGATCGCACAATTTTTCCCGTCCCAGGTGTCGCATCGTCTTCGCAGCGCAGCACTCTAGAGAATCAAGGCCGTCGCGCGCGCAAGCAGCAGCAACTACACCAAAAAGTCTCGCCATCATGGGCCTTCTTGGCTTCACCGTGAGCTACTTGCTCTTCTCCGCCATCCACTTCTGTCAATTTATTCTCGCAATCGTTGTCTGCGGGCTCTATGGCTATGACCTGCATCATGCCAACAACAGTGGTAAATATTCCGACTCAAAATGGGTACGTCTGAGCATGCATGCATTCCTATTGCAAATGGCACAAATTGGGCTAACGGACGTCACGCAGATCTTCGCTGAGGTTGTCGGCGCGCTGTCTGCGGCTACCGCTCTACTCTACTTGATCCCCTTCATCCTGCGATTTGCCGTCGTCTGGATCTGGAACGTCATCATTTTCATACTCTGGATCGCGCTGTTTGGTACATTCGGCAAGCTGTTCATCCACGAGAACCCCGAGGGTAACGGCGGCATCCAGCGCATGAAGAACGCCGTGTGGATTGACCTTACCAATGCGCTTCTCTGGCTCATCTCCGCCATTGCCCACTTCTGCTACTGGTGGACACACCGCGAGCGCGTCACCCGATTCACTGGCCGCGCGAAGGTTTAAAGAGCGATTCCCGGCTGTGCTGGAGCTTCAGCAGTGAATGTAGCGAAGAGAGCGGCCCAAGGAAATGGATGGACGGTGAAGAAGGCAACATCCACTCGTAAGGAGTGTTTTTTTTTTTGGGCGTTTGAGCGACAGTGGCTTTGATTTGTCTCTGATCATACAATGGCGTGCTTGCGCTTGGTGATAGGGACGGCGTTTACCTCATCCTTTACATTCGTGATACCATACCTAGCAAAGGGGCGTGTTCAGTGTCAAGGGCTTATCCTGACGGGCGTCGGTGTACAGAGAACGTCCTTAGACGCAGTAACTAATATTATTCGTACTTTTCACGGTTCCAGTCCCATATTTTCAGCTCTGATAAACTGTCGATGACTTACCTAACTCCACTCATCTGGTGATTGAAAGTGCTCAGACAGGGAAACCCCAGCGACATTACGCGAGCAGGCAGAGCTTAATCTGCCATCTGATGGAGCCGCCACAATCATGATGAGCACGACTCATAATCTTCTATCTTGAATTGTACAATCAACTCTTGGTATTATTATAACCAGATGTTGTGGTCCTGACGCTGTAATACGAATGCCTCGAATTCTCATTTCGTATTCACACAGGCCAAGCTTTGGGCTCGTACGATCGACAGGCAAGCTCGGATCTAGGGTTCACCGCATCTCTTTAGCTTCCATCATGAAATGTACCCAATCACTAGTCATTCCCTGGACGGTTATCTCACTATCAAGCTTCCCATTCAGTCCTGTGTTCCAAGGTCGTGACTGGGCCTAGGGATACTTGAGATCCTTGAGAGTCTGTCTGTCTTGCCATTAAGGGTGCAGGAAGCAGCGTAGAATTTGGTCCGGGGTGCAGGAGGGCATGACGTCACAATGAAAATGGCTAAAGAACCCCACCAGATGCGAGATGACCCCTACTGCACACAGAGCCCCCTCCCTTTTGAAGGGTCTCGCAGAAAAGGGTGCAAAAGCTGACAAGTCAGAATAAGGGTCTTTTCATCGCGACATGCGACGAAGAAAAGAGCGACGATGAAAAGAATCTCATTGATCCGTGACTTTGCATGTGAAACGGAAGACAAGATGAAACAGACTGGAGGCCCGTTACAGCAAAACTTTGCAACGCCGGCCCTCTCCTATTCGCAGGCCGGCGCAGAGGGATCAACGGCAGGCCGCTGTGACCAACGCCAAGTTCCCACAGCAAGATACGCACTTGGTCTCCCTGGAGCGAGCGATCAACGCGATCGGCAACGGCCCAACGCAGCACAAGATGTGACCGGCGGCGGTACTGCTTTTCGCGGCGCTGTGCTGCGCTGCGGGCGGCTTTGCAATTCTTTGGAGGAATTGCAACTGTCAATCTTGTCTTAAGATTGTGCAACGTTAGTTGTGCAGACTTGGGGACGCCACTCTTCACCTTTTAGGCTTTTACCGTCAGGATCGTGTGCAATGGCGCACGGGAGCGGCGCTCTTCTTCGGGCCATGATTCTAGCTATAGGAGACCGGCATGGGATATACCGTACTTCGATCACTGTCTCGCATTGCCTGTTTGCAAGGTTACAGGTTGAGTCCTTTCCATTCCAATGTCATCTGGCTTTATGACGGGATTGTCGCTGTCAGACTGCCGCGACCCTTGGAAGACATGGAAGATTGATTGCCCAAGGGGCAGTCTAATCAATTCGTTGGCCAACAAGAATGCTACGCAATCACACAGCAGACGTGGACCCCTAAAATGAATCCTGGCAAGCTGCGACGACTAATAGAATCCCTCTCCTCTATCCGCACCTCCACCAGAGAAAGGTGAAAGGACAACAAAAGGGAGCGACGTTGGGTGGGTACATAATTGGACACAGTTTTGCCTCAACAGACAACAGTATCAACAGCGAACATGCACGTACAGTATCCGATCGCAACGCCTCACAGCATTCTGGGTGCCAAGACTTCGTTGTAGGCTCCCAGATTCCAGGGTCCTGGCGTGAAGGTTCGGACGCCGTCGCTGCCGTCCACGGTGAGGGCTAGCAGTGCCGTCTTACCCAGGTTGCCCTTCTGTGCTGGTACTGTTGCGCTGCACAGAACTTTTGTCGAAAAGACATGTCTCGTAACAATTTGAAGCCACAAGACTAGGATAGACGCTCGGGCACAACACGAGGTCCACCTCTCGTGAATCCCATGCGACAACAATGCTCCATTCCCTCGTTCTGCCTCTATGCACCAAGTTGGAGCCAGCGGCCTCCTGGATGGAGAATATTCGCAGAAAGACACATGGTAAGCCTTCTGAAGTATTGAAGTACCTCGATGAGCAAATGCCATGTATTTTCTGCCTTCTCTGAGCTTCTCTTGCTTGAGTCAACCCTGGCGAGATAAGCGAATTCCATGGTTTGCCTGCCGACCGTGCTAACGGGCAAGGTTTCCCATAGCCCTGCATAGCCTGCCATGGTTTTGCCATGATGGCATGGAGGACATCAGTGATCAACACGTCGCTCACCAGCACGCAAATGGAAAAGATGGGAGCCGATTGCCGCGTGGGCACACACCCCCCATCCATGTCCAGGAGATAAAAGATACTGAGCCGGTGAGTCGCCCGTCAGAACGAGACGGGAGTGGAATTCGACATCCTATGGCCTTGACCCGCCTGGCAGTCCTTAGTCGATGCAACTAAGACGAGAACCCCAAGTCTTAACGAGAGCCAGTGGGACATCGAACCATACCTCCATCATAGACGGGCCTTTAGTCTACTGTATCTACCCGTCTTTTCCATAGCGTAATGGAGGGGAGATTATGTGGGCACTCTGGGCGGGTATAGGGGGACAGGAGGGTCAATCCAACAACCCAATGTCAGGCTTGGCCAGCCTCCACCCATAGTCCTCGATTGTTTATGGTGGACAGCTTGAGGCAAAAGAATGACTCTTGCCTCCAGCCGGACCCTGCAGAGACAAGTGCCAGAATGAGGGTCCTGCCCATGTAATGTACATAGCCAGTGTGTGATGCAATTTGCATAGGCCCCTAGGCGTTCCTCCTAAGATTCTCAGTGTGATGGGATCGCCTAGCAAGTCTGGCCAAGTGGCATGTAACTCGCCCGAATTAGCACACTCTAGGCCAGGGTGTGTGGCCGCTGGAGGAGACCATCAACAGCCTCCGTCTCTGACAAGGGACGCCGTTGGTGGGGCTGGGGCCGGCGGCGTTACATGGTAGGCAGGTGTAGGTGTAGGTAGGTTAGGTATATCTCACCAAATGCTGGCTCGTTTGTCCGTCGTCTCAGGGAGAAAGGAGGGAGGCCGTTTGTCATCTTGAAATTCCGCACCTTTCTTACCGAAGCAAACAGATTCTCCTCAGACCGTTTCATTCCAAAGACATCGTCGGGAAGTTTGTTCAAACCGCTCCTGGCTCTGAGGGAATAATACATATTGGATTATATTGCCCTGAGTCCGCGTTTCAGGCTTCCCTGAACATCCAAGATCCCATCTCCACCCCGTGCCGTCTGTGCTTCTCTCGCCTCGCAATAGCATCTGGCGCGGTACGTATCTCCAGGGTGCAAGTTAATACTGTGCACCTTTATCGGTCTGGCGCCAAACAGTTCGGTTGTTGATCTTCATAAACTAGACAACATCTCTCTGAGACAGAGCAGTTCAGACCGCAATACACACGGACAAACAGCAAGAGTCAACGAGAGAAGAGGATTGAAAGCGCAAAGCCACCGGAGAGAAGCGCCAGTCCGTCCGAAGGAGAGAGCAGGCACCACAGTGGGAGGTGCGATAAAGAAAGAAGGAGTAACACACGACAAACAAGAACGGCCAAGCTTTCTGGGCAGGCCCGCATGCCTTTGAGCACTCCTTCGTCTTTTTCGAGTAGAAAGAGACGAAGGGTGACCGTTGAAGGCGGACGTGGATATACACGCGGCACCATCAACATCTGAGCGCCATCGAAACCCGCGATACAACATCGAACACCACCATCGCTTCTTGCCCTTGGCGTCTCTGCACACGCAAAGCATTTCGACAGTCTGGTCTTCGTCACCAGTGAAGCGTCCAGCAAGGTATGTGTCCGTGTCTTTCCCCCTCCAACTCCTTGTGCACGGCCTCGAAGAACTCCGAGGGATCCCTTGAGGTCGTCAACTACCGAGACGATGGCATTGTTCAGGGTGGCTCTGTCTACATAGCATACCTCGTGGCAACCGTCTCGTCATCGTATTAGAGTTTCTCGAGCCACATGCTATGCATGGCTGGGCCACCTGTTCCTTTGCCCCGCCAGATTTCAACTCCATTCTCGAATCGGCGAGCCATCCGCGAAACAAGCGAAACCTTATCGTGAGGCTCGGCTGTATATCCGACGTTGTGGAGTGGTGGCTGAGTTCTCTGTTATAATACACCTGCTAATATATGTAAATGGGTAGCTCCAGGCCGACATATCGTCAACGTCTTGACGAGCCTTCATAGGGCTAACTCGGCAACATGGCCAGCTTTAGTCGGTCATTCAAGCCGGGCTCATTCATGGCCAAGGCAAGGCGACCCGACATAGCCAGGCGGACGAATTCGAGCTCGTCAATGTCATCCATCTCAAGTGTGAGGTCTGAGGACCAATTCGTCTTGTCCCAGGGCAACACGCCGATAACTGAGAATCCGCCCACAATGTCATCAACAGGCGCATCTGGTCCCGCCATTTCCATCACATCCCCGTCTGATGAGCAGTACAGGCACGGTACGTGCAACTTCTCTTTGCTATGGACTACAGCACATACCGTTCACCGAGTCTTGAACCCTTGTCTTTCTTCCATGTTTTCCAGAATCCTCCTGTCAGCCCCTGTTCCTTGCGGCTTTGGCGTCGAGTTGTCGTCACATAGTCGCCGTGTACTGCATAAGAGTCGCTCTAAGAGTGGCTTGCATTCCTCCCCAAGTCTTGCCACAAGAGGCGCCAGAGCGGCCAATTATTACGCTGCCCTGCAGTTCATTCCAAGCCGATGCAAGCCAATAACGGCTCGTGACGACGGCGGGGTCATTCGGGGTCCTGGTCAGGGATTCTCAATGGCTGTGCCGTCGCTGCGGTGAGGAGCGCGCGCGAACAGGCTTGCGCCGATAAGAGCGAGGTGGACGGTACCGTATCGTCACCACAACGCCTAAAGACCCTAAGACCCTGTAGGGCACCATACCAATTTCCCTGTCTCTGCGTGTGTGTGCCGTTAGCCGACGGTTACGGCGCCATCCCGTAAAAAGACAACAGCAAGTGCACTGCGTAATGGGCTGGGGTGGCCCGCCCATCGCCCGCTGTCACTGTCAATGTCACTGTCACTGTCACTGTCAGCACCTGGGAGTGCCAGTGCACCGTTTGCGTCATCACCGTCGCTACGCAAGACGCTATCGCCTACACGTAACCCGCGAGACCGAGACTAACAAAACCCTACTGACAGACGACCGGCCCCGATCTTCAGGCAACATTCCAATTCTGCCCACAGACAACTCAAACCGCCATAACAGCAAACCTATCGCAATTGACCTACCATCGACTGTCCGCAAGATCAACACTGCGCCCGTCTACACGCCGCCTGAACCAGTCTCCGCTCGAGGCGACCTTCCTGGGTATGTCATCTTTCCGCCTGCGCTCTCTAGGTTGACGCGAAAGCATCGGAAGATACGGGCTTCTAAGATGAGGCGGCGCAATTGCTAACTTGACCCTATAGCGGATACTTTCCTCTCCACGAAGAACCTCATAGACGGGTGCATCGACCTCATCCTTTCCATGCGGATGCGAAGCTCCCACGACAGCAGTCTCACAGCCTCGCCACCGAACACACCAGACCGGCAGTTGACCACGCTGCCAACTTCCCAACCGCAATGTCGGATCCGGCCGCGCACTATCCGATGCTCCATGCAGTCAATTCATCCAAGTCAAGGACGCATACACCTGTCACTTCATATGTTCCCATCGGAGTGAACGCCGACAGCCCCATGCCCGTAGGCAAATACTACCCCTCGAATTACGAGTCTAGAAATCCCGGCCAGAACCCGACCCCAAACAAATCGCAACACTTGCGGCCGCCGACCAGTGCTCCCACCGCTGCATCTGTCAAGTCAGACACCCAGGTTCCCAAGTATCGATCCGACTCATCACACGCCCGCTCCGACTCCGAGGCCAAGCGCAGGTTACAACAGTATCAGCGCGATATGGTCGCACAAGCCACCTTGGCTGCGAGGCAACTGATGGGCAAGCGCGGCGGTTCCAAGATAGTGAACTCCTCGATACACGGAATGTCCGTGGGCAACATCAGCCTGAACAAGTCCATGGGCCAGAAGCCGACATCACCGCGCCTCTTGCCCTTGGGTAGCCCCGGACCAGTTACGCCAATGGATCTCGAAGGCGGTGACTCCTACTTGACGTTAGGGCGCGCTGTTTCCGGGCCCGATGCGGAACGGGAGGCCGAGGAGATTGCTCGGGCAGTCCGGAATGAGGCAGAGCGCCGTCGCAGAGAGGGCGCCACATCGCCCGCAGTGGAGCTGGGCCCCGTTACTTTCTGATTTTCATCATGACGGAGCCGACCATCGATGGCGCTGCTACCATCTTGTGTGTTAATACACTTCAAGGCAAAAATCATGCATCTACTCGGCGTTTTCTGCAACAAAAAACTACGACATGTTTCTTCAAGGACACGATACGAACACCGTTTATTGCTTGCCCAAATTTGGTGAGCATAACATAGCACCTATCATCAGCACACGGAGCAAGATCATTCGCTTGCATTTTCTCGTGATACCCCCTTTATTCGCACCAGCACTGTATAGACTTGGGACAACTGGGCTCTGGCAAACCCCTTTGCAAAGTATGGCTTTTTGTATTGATATATCATGAACCTATTTCGTCTTCTTCTTCTTCTGCGCAACAAGCATTGCGCCTGCCACACTTTCGCTCACGGTTCGGGAAATGAAAAAAAGTCCAGAGGTAGTGATATCTCTGGCATGGCATTCTTGGAAGGCATCCTATCGTTTGATGCTGTCTCACGGAACGAAGACAGCCTGGGAACTATTTTATTATGTTAGGATAGGGAGAAAAAAAAAATCAAATCTCACATATACTCACTTATATGACTAAGATCTCGCAAGTCTGTGATTGAGGTCCTATAAGAAATGTGCTCGATCGCTGGTGTTTGCCTAGGAAAGGGACCTCTACTGATCACTGTAGGGCCGTCTCGAGGTGTAGAATCATTTTGTGATGGTCATTCATCGAGGCTCAGAAGCTCTAGCCTATCTATCTTGTACAAGCAAACGCTATCAGCCAAACACAGATCTAAACAAGTCTTATGTAAGAACGCCATGCAATTCAAAGGCTGCCCGAAACTCCACGAATACCATCTGTAGCCACGCCGCAGGCCAAGCCATGTCGAATCATACCGGTCTCGGCTTCTCCAGGAGGTCAAACGCCTCCCTGCTCCACGGACCGCTCTGCCTGGCGGGCGCAAAGCCAGGGAAGGTCATCTTCTTGACCGCCGGCTTGGGCGGGGGCGGGGGCGGCGCGGCTTCCGGAAGAGGGGGCGCCCGCTCGACGTAGACCACGGTGGCTCCCGCGGGATACAGCGCGGTGTTTGCGGGGAGGACGGGCTGCGGCGCCTGCCCGGCGGCGTGCGACTTGAGCGCGGCCTTCCTGCCTCTCGTGGCTGGGTTCACTATCCGGGCCACGGGCGCTGGCTTTGCGGCTGGTGCTG